CTGCACTGCCCCTAGCCCCCCCCGCGGGGAGCTGCCCCCCTGTTCCCCCCCCCGCCCCCCCCGGAGCCAGCACCGGCTGCTTCTGAGCCCGACACGGTCACTGGTAACCAGAAACCTTTGTGTGTAGCACCAGGGGGAATGTGTCCCCACATAGCATCGTGTTTTTCGCAGCCAGACCCCTCAACATGCGGTCCCAAAATGCCCAGCCCCATGTTGCTCATGTCCTCCGTCTCCTTTCTTGCCCCGCACAGAGACGGCAGGAGAGGAGGAGACGGAGGATCAGGCAGCGACGGGGGATGAGACAGAGCCCTCCTCCTCCTCGGGGCCACCGGGGTCTGAGCCCCCCTCACTGCCCCGTAAGCCCCCCGTGCACCATGTCCAGGGAGTGAAGCGAAGGAGGAGCTCACCCAAAAAGCCTCTATCCAACAAGCCGCAGGACTTCCAGGTGAGATGAAGCTGGTGGAGATGAGCTGCACTGCTGAGCCCACCTCCTCAGGGCCCCCCAACCTGTCCCTATGGGGGGTTTGTCACCTGAGAGGTGCCCCCTGAGGTTCCCATCCCAGGGGAGGACCAACCCCAGTGACCCACTGCCCTGTCCTCCCTCCCGTCCCAGATCCGGGTGAGGGTCATTGAGGGCCGGCAGCTCCCTGGGGTCAACATCAGGCCCGTGGTGAAGGTGACGGTCGCCGGGCAGACCAAGAGGACAAGGATACGCAAAGGCAACAGCCCCTTCTTTGATGAGGTGAGGGGGGTCCCTGTTCCGGGTGTGCCTGGGGGCACCAGGGAAGGCTCAGGAGTGTTATGAGTTGGGGTCCTGGGTGATGGATGTCTCGGTGCAGCCCAGAGGCTGGGGAAGGGTCTAGAGAACAAGTCTTATGATGAGCAGCTGAGGGAGCTGGGGTTGTTCGGTCTGGAGAAGAGGAGGCTGAGGGGAGACCTGATCGCTCTGCAGCTCCTGACAGGAGGGGGCAGGGAGGGGGATGTGGGTCTCTTCTCCCAAGGAACAAGCGATAGGATGAGAGGAAATGGGCTCAAGCTGCGCCAGGGGAGGTTTAGATTGGATATTAGGAGAAATTTCATTACTGGAAGAGTGGTCAAGCACTGGACCAGGCTGCCCAGAGAGGTGGGGGAGTCCCCAGCCCTGGAGGGGTTCAACAAACGGGCAGAGGTGGCACTTGGGGACATGGTTTAGTGGGCATGGGGATGTTGGGTTGATGGTTGGACTGATGATCTTAGAGATCTTTTCCAACCTTAGTGATTCCTAGTTTTACTTTCATTAAAAAATAATCCAGGCACCAAGCCAGGACACATGAAATTAATTATTACTATCCCCTTAATCGGTTTAGTGGTGGAGTTGTTAGTGTTAGGTTAACGTTGGACTGGATGATCTTCAAGGTCTTTTCCAACCTAAACGATGATGAAATGATTCTATGATTCTATAAGCAAACTGGAGGATGTTGCTCACCAGGGCGCACCAGAATCACCCAGCACAGCCCTTCGGGAGGCTGTCGCTATCAGCGGGGTAGGGTCTCACTCACAGGAGGGGAAGAGGCTCCAGCCTGCGGAGTTGGGAGCATGGGAGAGGCTGGGAGGTGCGAACATGCCCTGGGGGGAGGCTGGGGCAGACCTCTGCCTTGCACCCTCACCCCTCCTTCCTACAGACCTTCTTCTTCAACATCTTCGAGTCACCAGCTGAGTTGTTCGATGCGCCCATCTTCATCACGGTGAGTTTCAGCAAACGTCGTCCCTGCCCCTCGGGAGGGCTGGGGCGATGCTCGGGGCCGTCGCCCTGTCCCTGTCCCTGTGGCACCCAGGGAAACGTTCCCCTATTTCCCAGAAGGGCATGCGGGGAGGTCCTCCACCCTGGGAGGGTTTGGGCTGGATTTACTGTTTTTCCGTACTTTCATTCCACAGGTTGTGGACTCTCGGTCTTTCCGGACGGACTCGGTGATCGGGGAGTTTCGGGTAAGGCTGCCCTCTCTCCTCTTCCCCCCAGTTTTCCACCACGCTGACCCATGGGGTGAACGCTGACATTTCTTTTCTGTTTTGTTGCACAGATGGACGTCGAGACCATTTACACTGAGCCAAGTGAGCCCAGCGGGCGGTTGGGGTCCGGGCCGGGGTCACCTGTGGCTTTGGGGGGTTGCTCTGGGAAACCCTTTTTTTGGACCAAGCGTAGGGGAAGCACATAGACACACATCACAGCTCTCCCATATATGAACCCAGATGTGTCCCTGTATCCACCATCACCACCCATTTCTCTTCCTTCTCCCAAGACGTACATCCTTGAAGGCTTTCAAATCCTTGTGCCACCGGCTCGCTGGCAGAAAGTCCCACCAGCGCAGCCCAGCTCACTTTTTTTTTTGTCTTGAGTCTGGCTCATTATTTTATCTTTTTTCTTTAATTTTATCTGGAAGAAGATAAAATAATGCTTATAAAGAATTTCCTACCCTAATCACTGCAGAGAAAAGCTTGCTCATTTTAGCTGTAAAGAGTTAAGACCTACAAGGCAAATCCCTTAACAACATGCTTTAACTTTTGGTCAGCTCTGAATTTGTCAGGCAGCTGGACGAGATGATCGTTGTAGGTCCCTTCCAAGTGAAATATTCCATTCCATTCCATTCCATTCCATTCCATTCCATTCCATTCCATTCCATTCCATTCTATTCTATTCTATTCTATTCTATTCTATTCTATTCTATTCTATTCTAGTCTATTCTAGTCTATTCTGTTCTGTTCTGTTCTGTTCTGTTCTATTCTGTTCTATTTTGTTCTATTTTGTTCTATTTTGTTCTAAATAAAAGGAATGTAATATTTATTATAAAAAAACCCCATCAACATTCTTGAAGCCATCTCCCTGTGTGTCTGAGGACAAACACATGGGTCTCAATCTCTTTTTTCCCCTAGAACACGCTTTTCTCAGGAAATGGCTGTTGCTCTCTGACCCGGAGGACTTCTCCGCGGGGGCCAAGGGCTATCTGAAAGTCAGCCTGTTCGTGCTGGGGCCTGGCGATGAAGCTCCTGTGAGTATCACCCCAGTTGCGATGTGAGGACCTTCCAACTGTGGTACTCCATTGTGCTGGGCCATCAAACCCCGCGCCTGTTCTCAGGGAAGCTGCAGCTTTAATCTTCACCCATTTTGGGGGCAAGGTGCTGGATTTTGGGGTTTTGCTGCTCATTTCAGGACTTTTGGGAAGCTTGGTCATGTTCTCCTCTTGTCCTGTTGTCCTGCAGCTGGAGAAGAAGGAGGTCTCTGAAGACAAGGAAGACATTGAGGGCAACCTCCTGCGTCCCACCGGGGTCACCCTGAGAGGGGCTCACTTCTGCCTGAAAATCTTCAAAGCCGAAGATTTGCCCCAGAGTAAGTGTTTCCTTTGCTGGGCTGGAGCGCACCGGATCCGGCCCTTGGCATTGCAGCGGGTTGCAATGTGCTGGAGAGCAAGAAGGGCTCTTTAAGGAAACTTTATCTGTAGCCTTTGTCCAAAGACCTTGCAGATATCGGTCAGTTGTAACTTACTGGGAGATAAGTCTTTTACTGGTGCAGACTGGTTTTATCCTCCTGCTCAATGGAGTTGCGCAGCCCGGTTGGTGGGAGAGCCGGGGCCGTCCGGATGCCCCGTGCTTCCATGAGCTTTCAGCATCTCCTTCTTCTCCCAGTGGATGACGCCGTCATGGACAACGTCAGGCAGATCTTTGGCTTCGAAAGCAACAAGAAGAACCTGGTTGATCCCTTTGTGGAAGTCAGCTTCGCGGGCAAGACGGTGAGCGGCCGGAGCGGGGCAGTCCCCCGCCCCAGTTCCCTGGGCTGGGACAGCAACCGTGCACGGGGAAAATTTGATCCTTTGCTTTGCTGGAGCATTTGCAAAGGTCCCACCAGTCCTTGTCACACCCCGTCTTCTTTCCCTCTGCAATGCAATGTCCTGCAGCCCAGCTGATGTCCCCCAGCCCTGTCCCCGTGTGCGTGGCATGCTTGGAGCTGAGCGGTGCCACTATAGTAATTTCTTTGCTGGGCTCTTCGTGGTGCTGTTGCATTAAAAATGGGGATGGAGAGGCTGAGCTCCTGGGAGAAGGAAGGTAGGCAGTGCAGCAGCAGAGGGTTGTGCTGCTCTTCTTGGTGCTGCCTGAAGTGAGTGGCTGGCTGTCCCCAGGGCCACCGAATGTCCCCCCCCCGTGACCAGCCAGAGTGTGGAGGCAGCTCCGGTGGCTTTGCAGAGCTCCATCCCGCTCCCTTTGCTGCTGAGTCCCCTCCAGCGCCTTCCCCAAGCAATATACCCATGAGCTGCTGCTTGTCTTTTGATCTGCAGCAGCACTAAAGGGCTGAAAGCCTCCCCTGCCCATAAATCTTCCCCTGGGGACAGTGCCCGGCGGGGGGAACAGGCTTGGGACATTATTCTGAGCAACCGCAGCGGGAAGGGGGTGAGTTTCTGGTGGTCCCAGGGCGGGGGAGATACCTGAGCAGCCCATAACATCCTCTGCCTCCTGCACAGAGGGGTTTGCCCACGCGATGCACAGCCCCACCAGGCCACCCGTTAAATGGAGTCTGTATTTTGGGGAACCTGAGACTTTCCAGCTCCATGGACGGGGCGTGTGGCAGCCTTGCTTTGCTGAAGTGCAGCCGTGGCCTGGAAGCGCTGGGGCGGCACTGATTTTTCATCCCCCATCTCTCACCTCCAGCTCTACTCGAGGATCCTGGAGAAGAATGCCAACCCGCAGTGGAACCAGCGCCTGACGCTGCCGGTGATGGTGAGCACGGGTGCCCGCTGTGGGCCCCCCCACCCCTCACCGCTCCTCTCCCTGCCTCTTTTCCCAGTTCCCTTCCATGTGCGAGAAGATGAAGATCCGGGTGACCGACTGGTGAGCGGGGAGCGGGCTCACGGGGGAGCTGCCCGTGCCTGCCCGTGGGGAAAGCTGAGCTGGAAGAGTGGGATGGGCAAGGGGAGACGTCCCCGGTCCATGGTGCGATGGCATCGCGGGTTGTGTTGCAGGGACCGTCTGACGCACAATGACGTCGTCGGCACTGCCTACCTCTCCATGTCCAAGATCTCGGCCCCCGGCGGGGAGCTGGAGGGTAAGTGGGGGGCGGCAGGATGGGATTTTGGGTGCATGGCTGCAGAGGAGCACTGCACGTCGTGGCTGGAGGTTGGTG